GAGTTGTGACTGTCTTCTTTATGTACTGTATATCCGGTTGTCTGTGTTATACTGCCCCCAGGTGGTCAAGGCACTCTCGCGAGAAGGATCGCATCCGTCAAATCATTATCTGTCGCACTTATCCTCAGTAAATATATGATTAGTACACATATTAAAGTACAATAATAGGGTGTGGAAGAATAAGTCGTAAAGTACAATAATATGGTGTGGAACAATAAGTCGGCTGGTTTTTGTCGCTGTTTTGTGACCCACAAAGTGGGCAACAAGGGTCCAGTGACTTTACTCGTGGTTCGTCAATTTGTCGATAAATATTGGAGTTCTGTCTGAAAGACAACAAAGTACCTATGTCCAATCTTGAGGCAGTTTTGCTTTATTTTGATTTGACAATCTGGTTTATCGGCTTTATTGATGAGTTGCAGCTCATTATTTAACCTGAATGATGCTGCTCGTAGTATAACAGTCGCCAAGGAACGCTCGATGTGCAGGAGAGGAGGTAATATGAGCGTCAAATCCCTCAGTGAATAAGTCGGCTGGTTTTTGTGGGCTGTGCCTGTCGCTGTTTTGTGACCCACAAAGTGGGCAACGAGGGTCCAGTGACTTTACTCGTGGTTCGTCAATTTATCGATAAATATTGGAGTTCTGTCTGAAAGACAATAAAGTACCTATGTCCAATCTTGAGGCAGTTTTGCTTTATTTTATTTGACAATCTGGTTTATCGGATTTAGTGATCAGTTGCAGCTCATTATTTAACCTGAATGATCCTGCTCGTAGTTTAACAGTCGCCAAGGAACGCTCGATGCGTAGGAGAGGAGGTAATATGAGCGTCAAATCCCTCAGTCCAGGTGTTTGTGGTTATTTGTCTAGACGGCGTGTGCGGCAAATGATGTCATCACATTTCATCTGCTAATAAGAGGGATAAGCATGCAATATATCTCCAGCTTTATATCAGAAGCAGACCAGCTACCACAACAGGAGAGGAAGTAGTGGTTCTAACCTTAAGTTAAAGCACCTGTGGACATCAACTTGACACCTGTACATCATCCATGCTTGGTTGCTTAAATTCTGAAGATGGCTTTGGTTTGTTAGTGAGTTAGTTGATGTTTAATTTGTTGGATGGAGTGTTTATTGGCCGGTCAGTTGGATAGTCAGTGAGTGGTTATTGGCTGATTCAATTCTTAGTTGGCTCCTTGGTGCGTTGGTTAGTCAATCAGTTAGCTGTTCTGCTGGTTGGTCAATCGGTCAGCTGGTTAGATAATCACAGTTAATCACACAGGTTGCATTTTGGTTGATTTTTTTTCTTCAGTCTGTCAAATATTTGAATGGTTGTTGGTTGAACTGACTGATTTGTATGTGTAGGTTAATTATTTGGTTGGTTAGTTAAGCGGCCATTAAATTGGTTGTTATGTTCATTGGATAATTGTTTAATTTGTTGTTCTGTTGCTTGGTTAGATAACTGTTGTTAGTTGTGATTTAAACTGCTAATTGGCATTTTAGTTAGTTTAGTTGCTCTACTAATTTGTTCGTTGTTTTTTAATGTGATTTTTGTTGGCTAAGCTGTTTGGTTAGTTAGTTAGTTAGTTGATCAGTCAGTAAACCACTTAGTAAATCTGTTAACTTGGTGATTAATGTCATTAATTTGGTGGTTGTGGGCTAAGCTGTTATTTGACTCATTTGTTAGCTAAAATGTGTTCATTGTTTTGCTCGTTAATCACTTAGCAGGTTAATTAGTTTTTAGATTGGTTTGTAAGTTATTCATGTCGATAGGTCAAATAGTTTGTTAGTTGTTCTGCTGTTTTTTTAGTTATTTGTCATTTTGGTTGGTTATTAGGGTAACTAATTTGTTAGGTATTGTTTAAGTTGGTGATTGGTAAGTTATTTGCTTGGTTAGTTTCTTATCTGTGTGGTTTCTGATTAAACTGGTATTTCGCCAATTTCTTAGTTGGGTGGTTAGTTGGGCTGTTGGTTGTTCGTTGGTTAACAGTGAGTAGAAGTGAAGAGCAAAGTGGCTCGATGTCATGATGGAAAAATTGTGCTGTATTTTTATTTCAAAGGTTTTAGAACAGTCCATGCATGGGCAGACTACCAGCTTTTTTGGAACCTTCAACAAAGTAGAGGAAGCTTAAAAAGCAAATGAAGCAGTTAAATCCTAAAATGGTGACTTCACTCTCCTGAATGGTTTCGCTTAGTGGACCTCCGGAGCGACACAGCACACTGTACTGATGCATTACAGCGACTAAAGTGGCCCCACTAGGATGTGTGGCGCTGTCGGGTGGGTCCGCTCGGCCACATGAAAGCTGTCCTGGTTCACTTCATCCATATTGGGACGTGTGAAGTGTTTCCCCACCTGGCACGAGCTTGGTAAGGCACGGACAAATTTAGTCTGGCCGGAAGCGGGCTCGGCAACATGCTGTATGCGCTTGGCGGTAAACCGGTGCCCCCGGTACCCATGGTGTCCTGGGCAGCCGTTCCCTCGTGGTTTTGGTGGTCGCTGGCCAGTCCGGATTTAAATGGAGGTTTTAGTGTGGTGACCCCGAGATTGTTTGAGGTGCGGCGAGGGCCTCTGCACCGCATCCCACCAAACGTCTGCGTGAAGCCTTGAGACGGGTGGGCAACCGGGTAGACGAAAAGAATCACACCAGGACGCAACCAGAGTCCCTTTATAGAGCATGACATCACTGAATAGGTGCAAGTGTGTTCAAAGACTAACAAATTATGAACAGATACACTTTATTTGCAGTGTGCATACAGTGACTACACGGGCGACGCATTCCAGACCCACCTGCGAAACCACCCGCCATACATTTAAAATTTACTATTGAGAGGGAGACCATATACATATAAGTTTTCCCCCCTCCCACACACATTAAGCACATTTAAAGAAGTATTTCTTACTGGTCGCACTTGCCAGAGCATACCTGTACAACAATACCCACAGGCAAATACAAATATTCAATGTTCTCTTTGGGAACAACAAGTAAGTGATATCTTAAATATCCGCATTATTGCGGAGCGCAATCGAAGAACAGCCACATAGTAAGGTTTCACTGTATTAAAATAAATAAATAAAACCTGGAGCTGAGCTGACACACATGATAAATTCACGCAGCTGGAGTTCAGAAGGAGAACCAAAAAAAAATGGGAACAACAAGTAAGTGATATCTTAAATATCTGCATTATTGCGGAGCGCAATCGAAGAACAGCCATATAGCAAGGTTTCACTGTATTAAAATAAATAAATAAAAACCTGGAGCTGAGCTGACACACATGATAAATTCACGCAGCTGGAGTTCAGAAGGAGAACCAAAAAAAAGGGGGTTCAAAATGACTGGACCTCTCCACAGGCCACCAATGGTACCATTGGAAACACGTGTGTGTGAGTGTGTGTGTGTGTGTGTGTGTGGTGTAGGGGTTTGCCACGCACTCCCACGAGTACAAATCTTATTGGAAAAATTGTCATTTTAAGAGAAAAAGATGACATTTTATTGGATTTTTTTTTTTTTAACGGATATGTTAGTGAACGGATATGTTCGTGAATAGTAGAAGTAGCTTCCAGATCAAGACATTTTAATGGCAAGATATTTAAAAATAAACAAATGAAGCATAGCTCATGTTAGCTAATTTGTTATTTTGTCATTGAAGAGCAGTCAAAGATTTTCTTGACAAGAATATGTTCAATGCACCCTCATTAGTCTAAACACGGCATTCTGATTAATATTGTGTTTATGGAACATAAAATTAAGCAGCAAAATCCACACGTTTTAGTCTAACAACCAATCATGGCTCAAAAAAACCCCACAAAAAAACGGAAAACAGGTAAACCGTGATTGGTCGTTACCTGAGCCCTGAGCAACTGTGATGTCATTTTCAGTCAACAGCAGTGGCAAAATGGCTGCCCCCTCAGATGGATAAAAAAATGGGTGGATTTTTCAGTTTTAAGGCATATTCCACAAACGCAGGATGAATCGGAATGCCGTGTTAGACAAGTAACTGTGATGTCATTTTTAGTCAAGAGTAGTGGCAAAATGGCTGCCCCCTCAGATGGATAAAAAAATGGGTGGATTTTTCAGTTTTAAGGCATATTCCACAAACGCAGTATGAATCGGAATGCCATGTTAGACAAGTGGGGCTGCATTGAACATCTTACGGTAAAGAAAATGTTTGACTTGACTTCCACATTAAAGTTCGGATCCACGAAGACCAAGAATAATTAATAATTTAATACGTTATTCTCAAGGGTACAATACAAAACACACACATACACACAAAACAAGTACGCATGTTTTCATTGTGCAAGAAAATGTGAAAATGTTTCCATTAAAAAAAAAATTACATGAAAAGGTTTTTGTTTTATGTGAATAATCTAAATGTTAGTGGAAAAAACATGGCTGAGTTTGTTTTTGTGATTTTTTTTTAAATTAGAAAAAAATTATGAAGGTTTTACTTTTCATTGTATTTTAAAAATATATATATTTTATTTTCAACTACATTTCCAACCTTTTTCTCATATTTTTTTTTTTTTTTTGGAAAAGTAAAAGGCAGGCGCCTCCTGCTTCCTCCTCTTCTGTGTGTGCTTCCGTCTAGGACCATGGCGGCGTTCCAGCTGTGGCCTTCTGCTAAAGTCATTTTCTCTCTCAAAGAGGAATTGATTTCCTCCCTGCGTGGCCCACCCGCTTGCCCCCCCAACAATTCTGTCCAGCCCTTAGTGTGCAGACATTTGCAGTCACCGTGACGACTGAGAGAACTCAAAACTTCACATTAGTTTGGCATTTACAAAATAATGATGACAAGTTGAGCTATTCATTTCACAACTGTATGTTTATCGTTTTGGTTCGATTAACGTGACTGTTTCCAATATTTTGACCCTTTCCGGTGGTTAAATAAGCGAACCAAAACATTGTCATGCTCATAAATTTTTTTTCTATAGCTGGAGTTTCGTTGATGCAATAAAGCTTATCCCGTGTTTGTCAACAGTGATGCGTTACCTGGCGTTTGTCCAACAGGAAATGGAGCCCACTCGCTGAGGGGTGCTCCAGAGGAAGTAACTACGATGACAACAATGGCCATCTTCCTTCAGGGAAGTCACAGGTGACGCCTCGTTCCACGCCACACGTACCACATCAGCGCACACGCAAACACCAAAAGTCTGTATTTTTTGTATTTAAGCGTCAGTCATCTCGTTAATCACCCAAAATCACCCTAATCACCTCAAGCCTGTATGACTGATCTCCTGTATGTTTTCGGGTATGGTCGCTTGAGACTTTTTGTGGGGCTACTGATGATAGACAAGCCAAACAAATTTAATGCTTTGAAGTCAGACTGACTTCGGGGACTAAATTTTCAGAACATTCAAAGGATCCCTGGAAATTGACTCTAAAATGACAGTTTCAAACCAAAATGGCTGACTTCCCATGCATTTTCAGCCATGGATTCTTGTGACGATTTTTTTTGTGAGTTTACTCATGATAGATAAGCCTATCGGGTTTCCTGTTACGATGTGAAACGGGCAACGGATACTAAATTGTGAAAGCATTTCAAAGGATCCTTGAAACTGGCCAAAATGACCCCAAAATGGCCGTCTCAAATTAAAATGGCTGACTTTCTGTGCATTTCAGTTTCAGTTTTTATGTCTCTATGCATGATTGATAAGCGTACCAAATTTCATGTTGCAAAGTGGAACTGGGGTCCTGAATTTTCAAGGAATTCAGATGCCCATTTTTGATGGGTGTCGATTTTCACCTGGCTGAACACACCTGTAAAACGTGTTCGCTTTCTGATTTATTTGGCCTTTGGAGAAATAACCGTGAACCAAAGCAAGCAGTTTGAAGAGGGCCCTTACTCTCTAAAAACGTCCTTCGTTTCCTTGTGGCTCCCGGCAGATTTATGGCGGCGTTCCTTTTGCATGCATGCTGTCCCTCGGTGAGCCAGCCTCCCTCTCACGTTACAACCTATTTATAACAGCCCCTCGCCAGGCTCCCTGACTTTCCCGGGACCTCCTCCCAGCCTCCACGCTTTCCCCTGACATCCGAGAGGCTCGGCTCGACTCGACTTGGTTTATCCCGCTCCGGCCCGGAGACCCAAGCGGATTACGCCAGGAAAGGACGCCGCCCCTCTCCTCTTTTGGAACTTTTTTTCGGAGCTCTTGGATATGCGCCGCTGGTTGCTTTAGGAGCGTTTGCCATGGATCACACACTTTTCGGCTGCCTGCGGAGCCCCCACGCCCCGGCTCAGGGTCTACACCCGGCCGCCTTCGCCCCGTCCCCGCTCACCCTGCACGGACGCTCGGACCACGTCTCCTACCCCGACCTGGCCTCCTCTTCGTCCTCGTCCTCCACGTCCTCGCCGTCCACCTGCATCATCTCCAGCTACGCCCCCGAAGACGGGCTGTACCACCCTCACCACCATCCGCAGCAACACCCGCACCACCCGCACCACCACCGCGGCCACCACTCGGCCCCGCAGAGTCAGCACCACACGCCCGCCGCCTGGCACATCCCGCAGATGTCTCCTGGGGGCGGGGGCGCAAGGGCCAGCCTTTGCCACCCGCACTCCCACCTGTCCCACGATGGGGGGCCCACGTCCCAGGACTTGGCTCACGCCGGCGGGCCTGCGATGGGTGCCACTACGCCCGGCCTGGGTGGCAGCAGCACCCCCACTGGGGCCGCCTCAGAGTTTGGCAGGCCCACGCTGTCACCTGCAGAGGCGGAAAAGAGGAACGGAAAGAGGAAAAGTGACAGCTCAGGTACAAATGTTAACATTTCATTTCAATTCTTTGTATATAATGTGTGTGTGTGTGTGTGTGTGTGTGTGTGTGTGTGTGTGTGTGTGTGTGTTGAAATTCAAGGCATCGGTGTCTTGACTCACACAGGTGTGTCATTCTCCTTATTCGTCACAGTCCATATCATAGTTATGATTTCCCTTAGGAAATCATATTACTGACTCTATAATCACCTCAATAAGTTATAAAGAAATACAAAAATATACAATAGGATCGTTATGTATTGTTTTTAACTTGGCACTCGGATAGAAGAAAATAGCGGCATTCAAATCTATAAATACGCAGTGTTTGCATTGTTCACGTTATGTGAAGAAGAGATGTGGTTAAAAATGCAAAAAGTTGACACTTTTTTCTCCAGATTTCCTGCCAAAATGAGCAAACCAGATAAGGAAGAAACATGAAGTCGACACCTTTTATTTGCGTTAGCGGGCGGTATAAAATGCTGTGGCGTGTGGGTGTTTCAATCCAAAGTTGGCGGCTCTTAAAAAAAGGAAAAGAAAGAGAAAGAAAAAAACAAAACAAAGGTGGTTTATCGAGGAAAAGGGGACTTATGTTGTGGCTCAAATATAAGGCACAAAAATGAAATATGTAACTTTCAGGTTCACAGATTTTCCTTGCAAAAGTCACAATTAGAAGGAAGGGTTTTTTTTTGTTGTTTTTTTAATACGTCGAAACGTATCCACGAAGTCACAAGGATGGCTGATGCAGGAAAAGTACTTCCTCAATTTAGTAATTCTATAGATATATGTACATATTTCAATATAATCACACTTTTTAGATTTTTTTAAATCTGGAAAATAACATGAAGAGAAATGAAGACAAATTAACTCCTTTTTTAAAAAAAAAATTGTTTTGCTAATTTTATAGATATGTATGATGAGAATATTCAGTTATTCCAGTCATATATTTTTTTTTTCTGAAAAAGACAAAAAAAAAAAAAACAAGGATGAATACTTGGGGAAGGTAAAGTAAAATTGTTTCCATACATTTTATATTGTATATTATATTTATATCGACAGTATATCATATTTTAGATGAATGACAGTAGCAACAATGGCAAATTGAAGAAGGGCAGCCTCAAGGTTATGTGCGTGCGCGCGTGTGTGTGTGTGTGTGTGTGTGTGTGTGTGTGCGTGTTTATACAGTATGCGTGCGTGTTTGTGTGTGTAAAATAAGTAAAATTGGTGGCTCTAGTGATCTTGTTAATATTTTTGAACTTGCTTCAAAATATCTTTTTTAGTAGGAAAATGAATGTGTACTTATCTTCAATGTGTTTTGATAGATTTGGTTATACAGTACATACATTAGGTAGATAATTTATTAATAAGGTTCTTCTAGAAAATTGAACAAACAAGATTTCCACATTTGCTTGCAATCACTATATTCGGATATCATTCATCTTAATACCCAAATCTGTCATAAAGCTGACAATTTCAATGATTGAAAATGCAGAATATCATATTATTTATCCACCCATAATGCAAAAAATGTCTCACTTTCTAAACCGGAAATTTTGATGCTCTAATTTGACGCAAATGAACTGCAGAAAAATATCCCATTTTCCATATTTGAAAGCGCAAACCTTGTAAAAATGTGTCATCGATTCCAGTGAGCAGTCAGCTGTATTTATCTTCCCATTTCGGCAAAGATGTCTCGGGACACTTGTGACCCCCTCAAATGAGCTGAGTGCGATGTTCCATATAAAACACATGACGGTGCATGATATACGCACGCGCACACATTGGTCTTCCAGGGGTTGCAGGCGTCCCCGCTGACCTACGGGATCTTTTCCCACTTGCCCTCATCGCCGTCATCCATCACGAACGCCGTCGCCTCATTGGCGTCCTCGCCGGCAATGTGATCTCGCCGTGCCGCTTTTCGCTACGCTGCGCCTTTAAAGGTCTCCTCTACACAGGCCATTTGTTGTTTTGTTTTTAAACTCCAACCATTTACCCTATTTACTACATCAGCAGAAAGGCTGTAATTATTGTTGATTGGCATTTTTGATGGTATTATTATTAAAAGTGACATTTTTCTAGAAAGGGCATGAAAACGAGAATGGCTAATCAAGGAAAAGGGAACTTGCATTTGTTGTGACTCGATTATTGGGCTAATGAAATCAAGTGAAATGTCTCCTTTGCAAGTTGGCCTTTTGTTGTTGGTAAAAGTTATATTTTGCTAGACACAATAACTAGGATGGCTTATTAAGGAAAACTTTTTTTTTAAGTTACATATTTTAATGTGTGCGTGGGGGGTGGGACATCACACTTTCGAGTCTTAGCCTTACACATTTTTGAGGGAAAGACTCCATAACGGATGGCTTGTCGAGGAAAAGGAAAACTCATGTGTATTGTGACTCATATATAAGGCTATAGAAAAGAAAAGTGAAACATCTTATTTGCTAATTCACGTTTTCGTAAAAAAAAAAAAAAAAAAAAAAAAGACACATTAACAAGGAAGGCTTATCGAGGAACATGATTTTTTTTTCTCGTAAAATTCGTTAACATTTTATAGTTGCAGTGATCGCTTTTTTTCCAGAAAAGAAGGATGGGTTATCGAGGAAAGGTGTAACCGTGCAGCCGTACAAATTTTCACTCAAAAGGTCAACAAAACAAGAACGAAAAAATCTCTCTTGCAAGTCACAAGGTTGGCTTATTGAGGAAAAGAATAGGTGACTTTGTTTTATATATCACCTTCCAAAAATATCCACACACACGCACACGCACACACACACACACACACACACACACACACACACACATCCTATTTCTCTAAGTGATTTACAAGCTGATCTTTGCCCCCCGCCGCTTCCCCACCATGCTACCCCCCACACCCCCTCCCCCTCATAACTGCAGTTAGCACACTGATTAGCACGTAACCTGCTCACTCAGTCAGGTGTCCAAATCTCAGCCTGCTCCGGTTTCACCATCTGGAACCCCCAAAAGATGACTATAAAACGGGACTGGGTGTGGGGCGGGGGGATAAGAGTCGAAAAAGCAACAAAGAGGCAAGAGAAAATCATAATAGGGTTGGGGGTGGGGAGTACAGTATTGTATTATCTCACCAAATTATACATTTGTAAATTGATCACACATGTACGGACATGTACGTACACACACACACACACACACACACACACACACACACACACACACACACACACACACACACACACACACACACAAGCTCACAATCAGACACCTTTTACTTACTACCATTGGTTAGATGTAATAATATTTTAGAATACCGGTAATACATTAATTAGAATTAATATTCTTTATAAATGTACAAGTACACTCACTATGTTGTGTATGATGATGATGATAATGATGATGATGGTGATTATTTCTTACAATACAGAAGGGTCAAATTTAAACACAATTAGTTTGAATTACATTATTTTGGGGGCTTTTCCTTTATTTTGTTTTTTAATTTGTTTCAATGCCAGCACAAAAAAGTAACAAGGCGGGACAATTTGAAAACAATTTCACATTTCACAGCTTTTTACCCCCCTGTAAAGTTAAGTTAAAAAAAAAAAGCAACATTTGTCAGATTGTTGGGAAAGTTAAAACACAAATGGTGGAGTTACTAAATACGTTTACAATTGTGTGAGGGATGAATTCCATTTCTGTCCTTTCCTAAGTGGAAAAGAACTTGTGCTCCACTCCATTTTGTTATTTTTTTTTTTCCATCTTGAAGAAGTTTTAGGAAAACATCTTGAATGGGTCCTGTCCATCTCGTGCATGTCTTAATATGATATCACTTGAGGAAAACTGTTTTTTCCATTCTTGTAAAAAGAAAAACACTTTTTTTCTCCAGCGTCTGGGTGTTTTTCCCTCGTATTGTTCCTCTTCAGTTGTGGTGGGTTGCAAGTTGCTGTAATTGCTTTGAAAATGGCCCTCACTTGTTTTTGTACGATTGACTTTATGGTGCTTTCACGCAGTGTTTACCACCACAGAGAATGAGGGGCCCGATTTGGAAAACATGGGGTGGTCGTTAGAGGGCGATCCACTTTGCACTGATCCCCGAGGTGAAGACATCGGGCTTAGCACCGTTGGGGAATCTGGCTTCCAATTCTCGGGGCTCATTTACACTTTGGCCCATCGCATTAGCACTTGTTACATGAGAAACTGCAATGCTCTCATTCAAACCTTGTTTTTCTCACCACTTCAGAGTTAAAAAAAAAAATAATAATAATAAAAAAAACTGGACAGTGCAGTGCTGCAACAATTACCTTGAGAAAGTAGTTACTGATTCCTTGATTTTAAAAGTTACTTTACAAACGACTTGGTTTTTAACCCTGGAGAACCCAATAACCCTTTTCTTCTTTGGAAAATGACTGCTATATGTTCACTGAACACCAAAATATATGTTTTTGGAAATATTTACTGCTTTAATCCTAATTTACGATGAGGGCCAAATTTGACCCTTTGGGATTTAAGGGTAGCATTTGATTAGCAGAATTTATAGGGGCCAAATTTGACCCCGTGGGTTCTCCAGGGTTTTAAAGTATCCAAGTTAGATTACAAATGACTTCATGCGTTACTTTTTGCAGATAATCGTTTTTATCATCTTTATACATCTTAAACAGTCATGTTTTATGATCAAATTTGTCTTTAAAAAAATAAATAAAGATAGTCTTTTTCATTTATTTTTATCCAAAAAAGAGTCTTTCTGCATTTCACTGAAAAGAAATGGTTGTACTTTTTATTTTATTTTTTTTAAGTCCTTCTAGGCCAGAGGTAGGGAACTCCGGTTCCTCGAGAGCCGTATCCTGGCGTGTATTAGATCCCTCCCTACTCTCACGCACCTGATTCAAATGCTCAGCTCATCAGCAAGCTGTGTCGAAGTCTGAAACAATCATTATCAATTGAATCAGTCAATCAAATACAAATAAAATCAACAAAATCAAAATTGTACAAATACGGGAGTTCAAATAGTACAGATAACATTAACCTCAGTGTACATAAACGACCTACAATCACAAGTATCACAGAATTTTGAGGCACGTGCAAATCCAAGCGCACATTGTGACTCGGGTCAATTTGTGGTGGAACTCAGACGTGTTACACTCCCCTTCATCTGGCGATCTGCGTGGGTCTTCATCGTATGTGGCCAAAATGTGCCCAATTCAAATTAAACTGCACTGATAAAGTCACCATCAGAAGGTGCTGGAACGACACAAACGGAAAACAATCCGGCCTTTTTAACGGATGTGCTGCTTATAATATTATGACATGACGACAGCGATATCGTGGCAATTGTATTATCACGGTATCGCGATATTGCCATAATAACATCCTTACCCCTTACTGTATATCATTTTTAAATACATGAAATGAATGTCAGTTTTCGTTGATCTTATCTCCATTTATTTGTTAAAGTAAACATTTTATCGTGGAAAAAGAATTACAATGTTTTGATCCACACGACGCTGTAAAGAAGTATTTGTGGGTGATTTAGGAGCATTGTTGCTGGTACTCTTATGGCTCTGCCTGAGTGAGGTTTGACTAATGTGTCTTTGTGCAGTGCGAGCTGGCAAAAACATTCCCCAAGTACTTCCAGAAAAAGGCACAAAAACTAGCTTGTCTTATCCAGGAAAAGGGGGCATATACGTATTTTCCCCTTTTTCACTCCATTATAAGTATAACAAATAAACTGAACTCAAATTAAATCCGATAAGATGACTCGTCAAGGGCTTGCGGATCAAAGACCTAAAACGCACGTAAAGCCATGCGTCGTGATGAAAATAAACGCAAGCCACATCAAGCTTCTTTTGACGATGACCACATAGAGTACCGTGCAGTATTGTTTACGGACCGTGACTCGGCTTTTCGGAGAAAGTCTCGATTGCAGTTATATTGTGGTATATTTAAACAAACGAGGTACTTATAGAAAGCCTATAAATAAATGTAATAATTCGGCAGAATCACAGGATGGCAGTCTGAAGTGCGAGCTGAGCGGCAAACCGCGCAAGGAGAGGACGGCCTTCACCAAGGAGCAGATCCGAGAGCTGGAGGCCGAGTTCGCTCACCACAACTACCTGACCCGACTACGACGCTACGAGATCGCCGTCAACCTCGACCTCACCGAGAGACAAGTATGTACTCCGCACCCCCCCAAATACGTTTTTTTTTGGGGGGGTTTTTGGAGCCATTGTGCTCCACGTGTGAAATGTACTGTACTGAGAAATGGAGGGGTATCTTCTTAATCATTGGATTTTTAAAAAATATATATTTTAATGACAGGTATAAAAAATATTTGAAGGGGCTATCTATTGTAACATTCAACCTTTTTCCCCTCCACAATAATTTCGAACGGCCTCTCAGCAATGTGCGCTTGCAGAGGATCTTTCACGCTTGATGAGTGCAGACAATGATGGACTGTTAACACAAATTTGCACCATTTCACAGTCCCTGCCCCACAGCGAAATGACAGTATTCGAAGAAAAAAAAAAAAAGCATTGAGTTGTGCTAATTCTTGAGTGGATGAGGTGTTGTGGAGAGGTCACGTAAGATGATGCTGGGTCATGAGGGGAAGTTGGGGTCTGGAAAGTGTCCAGGGCACCTGGGGATTCATGCCGTGATTCAAAAGCAGTCCGGAGTGATTTTCATACATCCAAGACAACTCTCACTCTCAGGCATGTGACCAAGACAACTGCGAAAATAAATCCAACACAGCCTGGTGGTGTTTTTGTGTGTTTGATGGTTGGTTGGTTGGTTTGTTTTTTTTACAATGAGATAATAACTTAATTCCCATGATATTAAGACTTACATTTTTTGGTGGGGGGCTTTAAAAAGATAGTTATGCTGTTCTTGTTAATACTTTTTTTTTGAAAATAATTTATTAAAAAAAAACATTTTTCCCCTCAAAACTATACAACAACATCAATGCATAATATAACATGTTATTTCTGTCCGTTCATGTGTGGCGTAGGTGAAGGTGTGGTTCCAGAACCGACGGATGAAGTGGAAGCGTGTGAAGGGCGGCCAGCAGGGGGCGGCGGCGAGAGAAAAAGAACTGGTCAACGTGAAAAAAGGAACGCTGTTACCTTCTGACTTCTCCGGCATGGCGGCGTTACGCCACTCCACGGACTCGTTGGCCAATGACGACAGTCACGACAGCGACCAGAGTGACGAACACCCTCTGTTATGATTAAAGCCACATCATTAAATGATGACAAACAACGAGCACAGTGAACCCCCCCGTTTATCGCAGAGGTGTATGTTCCAACCGTGAAGAGTAAAAACCAACAATATCGGCGAGAAGATAAAATAAACTTTTTTCAAACTAGTTTTACTTCCAGTATTCCTTAGCGCCTGTTCTCACATACGGTAAAGAGCACTTTTACGAAGACTCTCGCTCTTGCAGACTTTTCTAAATAAGACAAAAAGCGGGCATGCTTTTTGAACACCAAAATGTTCAATAAAACCGTATCATTGTCAAAGTTCACTGGATTTTAATAGACGGGTTGATAGACGTTAGCATATTTGACAGTAATTATAAACCTTCAAACAACTGCTACTTTTACACACACGGAACAGCTACACATGCAAACAGAGAACATAATAAAAGAGGATTAAACATCGGATGTTTAAAAATTAAATGTTCAACCAAACAGTGTCATTTTGTCTAGTGAGAGCCTTCTAGCTTCACATTAAAGCATAATGGGAATAGCCAGTGCTGGGCTAACATTCGCGAGCATAGCTGTTAGCGTAATTATTAACTTTCAAACAACTGCTACTTTTAACACACACTGATCAGCAATACAGACAGCGAACAGAACAAAACCCAAACTATCTCATTTCACCTGAAGTAACCTCATGCTAACACATGTGAAAGGCTCACGTAACAAAAGAGGATTAAACATTGGATGTTTATCTCATTTCATCTGAAGTAACCTCATGCTAACACATGTGAAAGGCTCTTGATGGTGCTAACAAAAATTAGCATAGCTGTTAAAGTCACAACTGTGACTTTAAAACACTCAGCGCAGCAATATATAAAATTCAAACATAATAGAAAAAACAAGAATTAGACATTACGTACTGGAAATTAGCATCAATGTTACAATAATTCTAAACCTTCAAGCAGCGACACCTACAAACAAATCTGCTAATCATGCTATGTCTTCCAGCCGAGCTCAGAGCTGCTCAACATGTTGTGGCATAATGTGGTACTACACTGAAGGTGCCCAACTAGAAACTCTTGCGAGGAATGCAAACGATAATGCGCGATATAGCGGGGGTTCACCGTATTCAGAATATTGAAATGTGACCGTTTGGCTACACTGATGTTAACATTCCATGTTTGATTTGCACTGTTGGATTTGGCCACCGTCAGATTTGTGAACATTTAACCTGTCGACATCCTTCCTAGAAATAATAGCCCCTCTTAAGGCTCGTTTATGCTCCATGATAGATTAAAACGAAGACTCCTCGTTGGAAACTTACGGTTTTTGTTGCAGTACCATCTGAAAAACCCACAAGGGCAGTGATGAGAATCCAAGCGCATGATGTCCAGGTATGGCAGATACCATTGACAAACATTCACCATGACGCCGACACCCTTTATGTGTGCTTCATTAAAAAAATAAATAAATAAATTTCTTTCTGTATTTCGGTAAAATTAGTACGTCCATTCCATTTTGTACATACAGTATTGATAACATAAATCAGTCCCTTCAAGATTTTATGAATTCCTACTTCTGGCAATTTTTGGTACCCTGTCCTTTTTTTATATGTACATTTTTTTACTTTATTATTGTCATAATTATGACGGTTTTGCTTGGGGAAAAAAATACAGCTTTCATCTTGTTACTCAAAAATACTACAACTGTTCTTGATGATTTGTTCTCAAAAATATAAAACGTTAACATTAATTTAGGGAAAAACAACTTTTTCCTCTTGAAAGATTGAACTGGATGGTAAAAGATTCCTTATTTGTTTACTTTTTAAAAAAGATATACATATTTTAAAAATAAAACATTATTCTCGGAACATTAGGACTGTTTTTATCAGAAAAAACATGATGTTGATCCCACAATATTGAAACTTTTTCCTCGAAAAAATAGGACTTGAGTCCTGTAAGATTCTGACTGTTTTTTTTAAAAGGACTATATTCTTGTAAAAACTACTTTGTTTTATAAAAATCACACACAAAATTCTTTTTTTTTTTTTTTTTTTTACCAAAATTACACAACTTTGTTTAAAAAAAATTACATAGTTCTCACAAGTGAGAATATTTGTGTTGTTGGAGAGTTGACAAACAGGAATCAGCTACTCAGGGATAAGATAATGAGGAAAGGTTTGGGCAAAGCTTGTGTGAAAATGGTTTCAAATGAAGGAGAATTGTTGTAAAATCCTGAAGGGACTGATAAGCGAGCCATCCCGAGGGGTCTGTTGACTGCAGCGTGTGATTCAATGTCACACTTGTCAAGTGTGCAATCCGCAAAAGTTGCTTTTCTCTCCAAGAGGTCATTTGGTTGGAGTTGTTGCTTTCCGTTTGGGTTGTTTGCATGAAACTCGAAACGCGGTGGCCTGTGTAATTTCTAATTTGTCACCTGTCTGTACATTTTTGGAAGGACTTTAAATTGCCAAGTTAACGACAGATCGGTGATGATCAGTGATGTGTAAATAAATAAGCTGCATTCTTATACGTTTGTATCAGCAGTCGTCGCCTTGTGCCGTAATAAACACTGACCGACTACACTTGTGACTTACTTTGTTGTGCAAGATTATTTCCTCAAACAGCGGCTACAATCACAAAAAAACGCCTCCTTCAAATAGACTTTTCAACAAAAAACAAACAGAAATTGTCAGTAAACAGTGGCAAAGTAAGTTGGCTACCCTCTGGCTTCAGCCACACGGGAGCCAAATGATAATTCATTATATATATAAGTGTGGGCTAAACATGTTGCTAACGGCTACCAAAACCATCTTCCGAGGAGGCAGATTTAACAACAATTACATGATGGAATACTCAATAAAAGCACAATGGTGTGCAATTTGTCAAAAAAGGAAGTTTGCGAACCACCAAAGCGCTTCAACCCTCCGATACCATCGCTGTGAAGAATGTTAGATAAGACATGCCTCTGTGAGCCGTGTATGCGACCCTCAATGGGGGCAAGGTGAGAGCACAAATCATGCGTGTGGACATCTTGACAACTAATATAACAAAGATGCTCACTGTAGTTTCACAAATAATTCAAAATATTAATCATGTATAAATAATTGCCTATGCTCATACATCGGCAAGGGGCGGCACGGTCATCGACTGGTTAACGGGTTCGATTCAGGCTTTCCTGTGTGGAGTTTCCATGTTCTCCTCGTGCCTGCCTGGGTTCTCTCCCACATTCTAAAAACATGCGTGGCAGGTTAATGAAACACTCTAAATTGTCCCGAGGTATGAGTTGTGATCGTGAGCTTGAATGGTTGTTAGTCTCTGTGTGCCCTGTAATTGGCTGGCAACCAGTTCAGGGTGAACCCCGCCTATTCCTCGAAGACAGCTGGGATAGGCTCCAGCGTGCCCGTGACCTCTTTGTGAGGACAAGCAGATTAGAAAATAGATGGCTATACATTGGCAATATTAATGCGGATTCCTGCGAGGACTACTTCGTCTTTCTTGGTAGCAGGGAGGCAACTGCTGTGATCATTTTTTTCCCCCTCTCTCACTGATGCTACTTTTTAAATAACACATTTTACACTCTCGTGTACCCCCAGGGGTACGCGTACCACCATTTGCCCCAACCCGCCCTTTACCGTGGGGAGAGCAAATTTCATTTACGTCAAAAATACAGTTTTTAGAAAAGGACAATATTATAAGGAAACCAATAGTCATAAACAAACACGCCATATTAAATTGTAAAAGTCCCTTTTTTTTTACGTAACTCTCTTCCCTGCGGCATTCAATTCCCGCCTCTTTGCATAATGTGGGCCGATCCAACGATCATTAACATGGCGATCACCATATTTATGAGGGAGCGTGTGATTCCTGCACAGTTGGCCTACTTTGCCTCCCAAGAAGCAAATACAAAAAAAAAAAAAAAAAAAAAAAAGACAAGTACACCGATCAGAGCGACGTGGCGGAGGAGTGAAACCTTCTTCCTTGCTCCCCTCTTCTCGTCCCTCTTGTGGTTGTTACCTGGGCAGGTGGACTTCATCATGGCGGACGGTGGACTTCTCAGCCCGGTACCGGCGAGGCTCCGGGCCATGCTTTATTTGCTCACGCCGAACGAGTCGTCGTCCTTCGAGATGCTGCACGATGTCCCCGAGTGCGTCCATCAGGTGGGTCTTAGAAACGCACCAGTGAATCACTCGACAGAAACTATTGAGCTGTGTTTTAATGCATTACAACAAGACAGACAAGTAGCCGACTAAATAAACACCTTGTCAGGGTTGTTAAGAGAAAACATTAACTCAACAAACTCTAATTAAAGTGAATGCAATAAAATACTGCCTTGAACAAAGACAATATTGACATTGCTTATGAATGATATAAGTGTATTAATTTACAAATAGTTTTTATTTGTTTTATAAAATATTGACTGTTCTTTATATTGTGTCATAATATATTATCAATGTATTTATTATATTTGACGAAAATGTTTCCCTAGTTCACGATACTATGATGACTACATTAGCAACCAAAGAATGACACATTTATTTATCCATTTTTTATACTTATAATTGCATGTGGAGTGCATATGGACAGAATTTAAGCGTTTTACATCATAGGGTTTTCTTTTTTTGTGTCTGTGCGTGTGTGTGTGTGTGTGTGTGTGTGTGTGTGTGTGTGTGTGTGTGTGTGTGTGTGTGTGTGTGTGTGTTTCATGTTAAACCTCGTGTTTGGTTTTGTGTAATCGGACGCATTTGTGCTGGTTGCTGTTATGTTTTTAATACACAAATCCAACACTCTCCAAAATCATCATATGTCACGATCAAACCAAAATGGCAGACTACTTGTGCGCTTCACAGTGTAGGTTTAAGCGACAACAAAAAAGACAACGTTGATCACAGGTGTCAAACTCGAGGCCCGGGAGTCAGGTCCGGCCCGCCATTTCATTGTATGTGGCCCGCAGAATCAAATCTTCAACGTCATTGATTCTCGCTAAAACCTCTACAAGAATTTCATCTGTAAAAATAATAACACACAGAGATATTGCAAATGTTTTTGTTGCCAAGTCCTTTTTTCAAACAACTTGATTAGTGCAACAAAATATTATCCTTGCCATCTGATTTCAAAGAAGTTATCTATCATTTGTTTTGTATTTATAATAATATGAGGATATTCAAATTGTGTTTGTTTTCGCAGGCATAATGGCCCCCTGCAGAAACCGTAACTATAATGTGGCCTGTGACAAAAATGAGTTTCACACCTCTGACGAAGATAATTGGATAGATTTCAGAGTGTAAAATCGAACTTTTCCAACATTAACATGCTGTTTTAAAGTCGTCACAAGTTTATTAGCTGGTGTGCTCACTTCAGTTCACTCCAGCTATTTGAATTAAAAGTGGACGCAAAGGATGGTGGTTTTCTTCGGCTTTCCATCCACTGTTCAACCTCGCTTACACAAAGTGCAAAATAAAATAAGACATTTTGGCCTACGGAGAATCAAAGTCAACCGTGCGTCACATGGCCTACACAATGGTTATAATTACGAGCTTTAGGATGCCAAAACAATTCCGGCCTTCTTCCTGAAGCCACATCCCATCTTGATGCGGCTGGCCAGAGACTTCCTGCGGCGACCATTGGATGCATGACAGGGACGGGCAAGTTAAAATGATGGATGTTTCGTCAGCACTACGGTGGGGGGGACCATATAGCATTTCCTAACTAGATGTGTGACAAAAATGCCATTTAAATACGTGCATATGCCTGTTTTTTTTGTTGTTGTTGAACCAGTGTACATCGCAGCATATACTTGCTCAATGCATGTACCGAAGATCAAGCCTTCAACAACAAAGGGTTTGAACCAGCAAAAAATAACTACATACTGTGATTTAATGGGGTGCAGTGCAAAAGCTGTTTTATATCAAAATTTACTCAACTCAACTGTATTTATAGAGCACTTTCAAACAGCCATCGCTGCATACAAAGTTCTGTACAAGGAGCAATTCAACATATACAACAAACAGTAAAGCAAACTGGTAATAAAGACGGTAGAAAGCACCGAACAGCAAAACCAAGAACAAATCTAAGTCATGCTGAGTCAAATACCAAAGAATACAAGTGAGTTTTGAGGCGGGTTTTGAAGATGGGCAGCGAGGAGGCTTGCCGAATGTTCAGTGGGAGGTCATTCCAGAGAGAGGGACCAGCAACAGAAAGGCTCGATCCCCTCTGAGCCTCCGTTTAGTTCTTGGTACTTCTAATAATGGATGGTCCGCAGACCTGAGGCGCCGGGCAGGTGTGTAGGGGCGGATGAGCTCAGAGAGGTAAGGTGGCGCGAGGTCATTTAGAGATTTGAAAACAAATAAGAGGATCTTGAAAATAACTCCAAATGTATGGGGAGCCAGTGAAGGGATGCCAGAGTAGGAGTTATGTGCTCCCTCTTTCCACACTGTTGATTTAAGAGAAGCCGAAATGGACCCAATGGCCGAAATTGAACGGGAAGTCGGCCATCTTGGTTTGAAGCTGTCATTTTTGGGTGAATTTCCAGGGCTGGTACTTTGACATTCACCAAAAGGAGCGCCGAATTAGAAGCAGGAACACTTGACAGATGATGCTAAATTGCAGTTATGAGTATTCACCACAAATAAAAAAATCGCTTCTATGGCCAGTTCATTGCGGCTTTTTCTTTGTTTCCCCCCCGCCAAACCAAAAACTTCCCTCAAGCTCATATTCATCAGGTCATTTTGAGTTCATCATCCTGTTCGATCCTGTGCTCCGCATGATCTCTTCCTTTGTGGTGATCTGTCACAGATAGAGAGATTCTCTCAGCGTGAAGAGTGTGTTTACACTCAGTCAAATGACTCATAATTCACACGCTGAAGGGCCGCAACAGTAAAACCTTTGTGTCGAAGAGCAACAATGAAGGGGGGGGAAATAAAGTAAAACCTAAGGCAAACTGAACCACGAGTGTACCACAAGAATGGTACTTTGACACAAATAAACCACACGTTACTTTCTTTGCATCTTATGTGTGAAATCGAACTGAATGTTTAACATTCAACACTTCATTGGAATTACCGTGAACTATTGCTATGACGTGATTCACCTTTCACGCTGTTTCACGGTCGCATGTCGTATTTAAATCAATCACGTACTGTTAATGCTATCACATAATGTGAAACGCCACAGATAGGCTAATGCATTGCGTCTGTCTGGCATTAACGTAATACTTATAAATACTACTCATAAGCGGACATTTGACAACCAAGAGTGCATTTTCTCATTAAAAAAAAAAGACGTTTTTGTTATTTCTTCGGGGGGAACCTGGAATGGGTTGGCATTTTCCTTTGTTTCAACGGCGTAAGATGATTTCAGATAGGGGTGTTTGCATTATGACCGCTGTCAAGGAACAAACTAAACTGTATTCTATTCTTTCACTATCCCCGTGTGCAACCTATCCTTTCAAAATCACCTAAAGCCTCAATGACTGCGGGTGTCATTTGGCAGCGTGTGAAGGGAACTTTATAATTTATGCTGTTTGTAAGTTGGCCTCACGAACTGCCGTTAAACTCACTTGTTGGGCGTAGAAGAACACTCAACAATGCTTGTTTGCCATGTCTTTAATTAGTTTACTCTTGAGGGGGGAAAAAAAAAGAAAAAGAAATCAACCCGTATAATAGTGGACCTCTTTAGATTTACAGTCTTCTTGTGGTAGTGAAAGCAGGGATAAAAGTGTCTTGTCAGCCGCCATGTTTTATGTCAAGCGTGACCTCGGCGAGACGTATGAATGAAGGGAAAGGCGCCCACATCTGGTCGGCAAATGTTCCACGCGAGGAACCAAATTATCCCCAAGAAAAAGCGGTGCGCAAAGGCTTTCAAAAGTGCAGACAGCGTCGAATCGACTTGGCTATGAAAAGCCATTTCAGATTTTGCTCCATAGACTTTATATACTGTAGATAGACAGTTCGGTGCAGGATGAGCTGATCATCGTGAATCAGGTGTGATGGAGGAGGGGGAAACGTGTCAAACAGGCTGGATCGGAGCTCTCGGGGACCGGACGTGGGCACTCTGCTGTGCGTGTGCTATTGACCTAATCGGCTCCTCCTCCTGGGTGACAGTAGTGTACAGTTGACCGCACCTAGGGAGTCGCATATTTACATGAGTTGATTTATCTCTTCTGTAACTCAGTGCAGACCTCTGTTAAAAGTATACTACACCCCAATTATTCTGGTGTTTCGCCGCTTTACATTTCTAGTTCGTTTAGTGGTTAGCATAGCGACTCCATCTTCTCCGGTTCCCTGCTCTTGCTTGGAGTGTCGCATGCCTCCTCTTCATCCTCCTTTAATGATAATGATATTTGCCAAAAGTGGAACTTATTTGCTGGCAGCGATTCGAGACATCAAGAAGCAGCTTCGCTCCCTGGAAGGACAGTGTTTAGTTGCGCTAGCTAGCCAGCTCAACCTAGTAGCTAGCAAAGCATTTCAGCTTCGCGCCAAATATTCCCCCATTAGTTCCCGAGCAGCAGGGAAGACAGGTGGCTGTTCGCCGTACACCCACTACGTTTTCTATCCGGCTTGTTGAACATAAACACGAATATAAACCGTGCTGCAGGTGTCAGCTCCTCCAGCACCGTGTTTAGATGCGATTCAACCCATTTTCACAATCAGCGGTACGACGACATCCTCCATAAACGGCATCGTGCAAGCCAAATATATACTGTACCGTCAACCGCATTCACCAAGATGTAAGAGTGGTTAAATGAAATTATAAGTCAAATATAAGCAATACATAATGGAAAGCTTTTGATCATTTATTCAAGATCAAGGGTGTCGACTATGCCGTTTGAGCAAAACTGTGTTTTTTTTTTTTATTCCCTTTGCTATTTTTACAATGGAAATGCAAAACAATTGTGAACTAAACTTTACTGCTGGGGGTTGGGGGGAGGGGGAGTGGGCGGGGGAAGGGACTTTTGACTCGAACGTGTTTCGAGAGGTCTGCGACCAGATGTTGGAATTTTTGCGCCTGTTGACGAATCCCTGGCGTTGCTCGACACACACGCACATTCACACACACATAACACACGTGTTACTGCTGTGGCTAGGTGTCTGCCAGATAAAGTTGAGCAGCAGTAATTAGTTCCATGTTTGACAGTGCCATTAAGATATTATATGTTTTTTCGGAGAGGTGGGCGTGCCCGTGCAACAAAAGGCTGGATGCGCTCAACATGCATAAAATGACAATTTTCATCTGGTTTGCCACCCCGAGTGGAATACGTCTCTCTCAGACATTCAGATGGTAAAATGACAAGAAACTCGCTCAAACTAAGCTGTACCATATCAAATTGCTAACTGAATGGAATCGTTCCACTTCAAAATAAACCATCCTTAAATGATCGTACTATACCCGATGTATCGTCAGATACATCAAATTCTCTTTTTCTCGGAGCGATGCAAACCCCGAATACAATTACATCCTGTTTGGGTGTAAGGCGTTGTGCGACTTTATCATGTTTCCCTCCCTCAAAATTGACGTAACACGACGAGATTCACCTCCTAATCATTATCTTCTACTCAAAAACTGTGCTGATCTCCAATCCACAGAAAAACGGCTTGAAAAACGTACTTGGCGAGCATACAGGTATATGTTGGTGGCAGTAAAGGGTTGGATTACATATGATGTAAATATAGTAGATACATCTAGTTATTTTTTTATTGTTCTTCTTTTATGATTTTTTGGGGCGGCGTGTAATGTCCATGTTCATCCAGTGTGTTCCTTGGCAGCTTCTTCCAGGCTGGTGCTGCTGGGAAGCAAACATCACGGATGACCGCACTTGAAAGTTGCCTTTTTTTTTCTCAGCTGCTCCAAAGCAAATAGTCCTGCAAAAAGCAACGCTGGATGTCTTCTTTTTACTTGCTAAAATGGTGCTGAGTCATGATTGTGTGTGTGCGTGCAGGCCAACCCTTTCTTCCTGGGCCTGGTGATTCTGGAGATGATGCTGGGCTCGCTGATCTCGGGAGCGAAACTTTACAACGTTGCTGATGGCATCATCTCCGTATCTTTAGGGATGATGTCACGACTCCCGCTGTGAGTGCTCACCTTTGCATTTAAGAAATGTCCTACACGTGAAATGAGAATCCATTCCTTAAAATGATTTATTCAATGGTACCCTCATGAATTAAAATCTAAATGTAGAAATATACTAATCAGAAATTATTATCTTCGAGATTGATTGATTGTCATGCACAGGTGGGAAAAAAAGTGAATTTATTAAATAGCCCATGAATAAATAAGTGTGAGATATAAATAATTATATTGTATTTAATCTATTTATTAAACATCCAACTCATTCATTTTAAAAAGTGAACACGTGAAATTAACCATGAATACAAGTGTGAAATATGATTTTCTGACATTTTAAGTATTTATTAAATGTTTTTATTCATGTAATAGAATTTGTGCTTATTTCAGGGATTTTTGGGGGGTGGTTTTGCAATTTATTTGACATGACCTTCATTTTCCCATATTTATTTTGAAATTCTAATACTTGATTATTTAATAACTATTTCATGACATAATGGAAAGCTTTTGTTGTGCCAAATTAAATATATATACAGCGATTGTATAAATATAATTAAAATGTGAATGAAGTAAAATCACTTCATAGGTAATTATTAAAAAGCACTGATTATAATGAAAAAAGACATGCAATTATGACAAAATTAATGTGCAATTTAATAGATGAATTCATGTTTGAACTGATATGCTCATTTTAATTATTTGATGTACTTTTTATTAATTTTGGCCATTGCAGGGTATCCTCCCTGTGTCTGGGTTGCGAGCTCACAGCAAGCGCTAGACGCTAACATAGCGTGTTCAACATAAAAAAGTCCCTCGTTTCTCAAAACCAGTGACTACCTTTACTCATGGAGTTTAATTCTTTCTGTGACCAAGCTTGAAACTCACTTGACTCAGATTAGCCTCAAATTTTGGCCCCCCCCTCAAGGCTGCTGGTGCGCGGTCTGGAGCTGTCGGCCTACGTGTACGTGTGGGAGCACTTCCGCCTTGTGGAGCTGCCTTGGGACTCGGCCTGGACCTGGTGGTTCAGCTTTCTGGCCGTCGACTTTTGCTACTACTGGTTCCACCGCTCCACCCACGGTACTTGCATGCACACATTCATGAGACACGGGTGAGATGCATAACCTGTTTCGAAGGACACCACGGTTTTAAGAGTTTGAATGAAATCAGCAAAAATAAAAATTGTGGAAGATGTCCAACAAGTCAAATGTTGAAATCGTCACTGTCCTGTGAATGAGTGTTTATGTAAAAAATGACAAAAAATTGGACACATGTTCTGTACGGGATAGCGACGATGTGCTACAATAATTTTGGGGTAAATTAAATGCAATTGTTTTCCTGTTATTATCTTAAGCATCTTTGCGTACCTTAAATGTGCCATATAATAAGAAAAAACCCCAGTTCTGATTTGTATATCATTCATTTGATATGCTTCTTTTTTTTTCAGTGTGTACCCTTAAAAACAAGTATTCCTCCATCAGTAAGTAATAATGCACGAAACTGAGGCAAATACAGCATTTGATGCTGATCCAAATGAACATTGTTCTACTTCTGGCAGAGGTCTGATCTCTCCAGGGTGCTTTGAAACATCACAAAATTCAGTTTGTGTGGAAGCATGAGGGCCATAAATCTTCCCGTTTCGCGTTATGGAGAGCGTCCAATAGAAAACTGCCTAAAGATTAACGTGGTGCACGGGGATGTGAGGCTGTTATTAGCCCCATGTAAAAAAGCACTTTCGGCTTCAAGTCTTTTATGGCCTTTTTCCCCTCTGCCGTAGCCACATGAAAGTGCGACGGCAACATAATTAAGTGGAAACACTTTGGAGAGGCAGTCAGACATACACGCTGATGTCTTCATTACCAAAGAGACGTTTCTGCTCGGCTTCACGCTCGCCACACGCGCAAATTTAGGATTCACCCTGGACGGAAAACTCCAGAGTCCAAACCGTAGCAGACTTTTTGCCACCGCGAGCTTTTCCGTGACGCCGCTCCCCACTTCCATTTGGTCTGTTTACAGAACCAAACTTACCGTTGGAATCACTTCATTTTAATGCGAATAAAGTTGTAATATTATGATGGGAAGAAGTCAAGTTGATACCAGAGGTTATAATACTGCCCAAAAAGTAGTAATTTTATGAGAATTTAATATTTTAAATATTATCATTCGGTGATATTTGGAGAATAATTTAATTATTTACCAGGAAAAAAAAAAAAGAATAAAGCAATAGCATTACGAGAAAAGGTTACAGTATAGGTTGCGTGGGTTTTCTCCGGGTACTCTGGTTTCCTCCCACATTCCAAAAACATGCATGGCAGGCTGATTGAACACTCTAAATTGTCCCTAGGCGTCAGTGTGAGTGTGAGTGCGGATGGTTGTTCGTCTCTGTGTGCCCTGCGATTGGCTGGCAAACGGTTCAGGGTGTTCCCCCGCCTACTGCCCGAAGACGGCTGGGATTGGCTCCAGCACCCCCGCGACCCTTGTGAGGATAAAGCGGATCGGAAAATGGATGGATGGATGGATGGATAGTTACAGTATATGTTGAAGTGAATTTCATTTCGACAAATGTTGTGCTTTGCTACCATCTTGTGGCTGCTTGGTGCCAAGAAAGTTTGTTGAGGTGAATTGAGGAGCATCACTTCGACAACAGCTGCGCTTGTTGTGGCATTTATAGACGATTATAAACCTTTATAGGTTGGCGTCAATTTTTCATGGATTTTAGCTATTGGTGGCAGGGCTCAATCTCAATCCCCGGCGATATATTGTTGGTTTATTCTCATGCTGCTTTAAATGAGGTCTACTGAAGTCCAAAAAGTTAAATTTTGGGACATGTTTTCCAGCACTTAAAACTGAACTACTTGAAGGTGTTCCCAGTATTGCCTTTTCTGACCATCTTGCTCACATTGTGAAGCTGCATTGTGAATCTCCAGTTGTGTTCTTGTGGTGTTTGTCTGTCATTTTCGAGGACATTTTAGAGCTCCCCGCCTCAAACTGTCTAACCTCCGGGCAAGACGTGACCTTTAGTTAAGCTGCGACCGCATCCATCAAATAACCTGAAGAGTGCACCAGAATAGCAAAGGGAGCGTGGAAGCAGATGGTTTTGGGTGCGCGAGGCGGCCCGGGGTCGGACGCGGCCGTGTTGTTGACAGGCGCGTTTATGCTGTTTACTCTACGCGTCTATCTGCAGCGCCACTAATGGCAGCTCTGCGTCTAAATGCGGCCCCGCCGGCCAGGCGGAGGCCATTAATCAGACCCTCAGCTGTCCCGCCTTTGATTATACATGAGATAATAGAGTTGTCTCGCCAGGCCACGCTGTTTTTAGTGGCCCAAAAAGGCAGAGTGGTCTGGCTAAATGGTCACGCTTACGTCTCTAATGGCTTGTAGTCTTAACCAGTAGAAAAATCCTCTGTCTCTTTTTTTTTTTTTTCGAGACATGGCCCAAAGAAACACCGGGGAAACACCAAGGGCTGATTTACCAAAGATTTGCTTGTGCAAAAACGCCCGCAAACTTGATTGCCGCCAGAATTCATTTTTGCACATTGCGGGAGGAGTATAAGCAAATAGATGAATTTAACACATACGTGGTGACTTACTAAACAACATAAGACATACCACGATGTGGAAAAAGTCATCATTTTGAAACACACTGTCAAAAAGTAAATTTTCAGTTTTAACATTTTGAGAAAAAAGTTTAATCAGCAAATTTGTATGTATGACACTTTACCAGCGAAGCCAGTAATCCAAACCTTGATTTAATTCATGTATTGATTGTAGGCAGTGGGTGCCTTAAGTGCAGAAAATCAGTCATGCCAGTCAATACGGTTGGCATCTTTCAGTCGTGCTCAGGAGCTATTTGTTGGATTTTTTTGAACTTCCCTTGTGCATCCCTTCCTTCCGTTTGCCCCGTCAGCTGTGCATACAGCAGCAGACAAACACGTGTGCGCAGCGCTCCTCCCGTGTGGATGTTATTATTTCAAGAGAACTGCCAGGGAAGCTTCAACCTGGCCCCTGGGGGCCACTTCATAAATCTTGCCATTGACGGCGAGTTCCTGGCCTCGGTGCACGTTTGACCAGAGAACCCTGGCCCTCGCATCCCCACGCCTCTGAATCGAAGGCCAGGATGAGAGAGAGAGAGAGAGAGAGAGAGAGAGAGAGAGAGAGAGCGAGGGGGGGGGGGGGGCTTTGAACCGAGACGAGCGCGTTACGACCGATTAGAGCACCACTATCAAACTCAAGGCCCAGAGGCCAGATCTGGCCCGCCACATGATTTTTATGTGGCCCAGAACTATTAGTCAGCGTAGACATTGCGTACAATTTCTTTAATGTGATAGTTTCTCACCAGTCATTTGTGGTAACTGCCACCTTGCGGAATAGAAAAAAACATGACGAAAAATGATTCACAGAGTGAAAAAGGAAAGTGTCCACTGCCCACTTGATAATCTATCCAATGTACCTGCCCTCTCACCACTTATTCATAATAAATCACCATTCTGCATCATAGAAATCTCTAGAAGCAGAAATTAATAGAAGTAAAAATAATCCGCAGACCCAACTGCAAAAAAATTATTGCGCGCTTGATCCCATATCATGAGATATGCCACTGCACAGTAGAAGCTTCTACAAAAGACAAAAAATGAACAAGATATGTGTGTTTAGTGTACTGTGTTGGTATGCATAAGGATGTTGCGACAAGTCACATGAATTGACAACATTTTTCTATCCTCTCTGTTTCTTATTATTGCACATCTGCAAGCACAATTTGTAGAGAAACGATTCCCTCTGCTCTGTTGGAACAGTGACTAAAACTAGACCTTCTCTGTCTTCTTCACATTCTCTTTCACTGCATCTTTTTCCAGTCAGTGCTGCCCGGCATGTTGTGGCAAAATACGGTACTATTTTAAAGGCAAGCAAGTCTAAATTCAGACTTGCCTCTCTGCGTACTGTAAAAACCCATAAAAAAAAATCAGCGATATTGCGGGGGCGTGAAAGTTCACTGCAGATTATATTTTCCGATGTCAGTAAAACCGCGAAAGCCGTCCTCCATCCTGCGTGATGTCTACACTCATTGCCGCTGGTCCCGTAATGGTGACGGGATATTTTCTTTGGGGCCCCTGCTGCTAATTGAGGAAAATGTACAGATGACTAGCAGTGTAGCGATGCTGACCAGGTTTGTACCTTTTAACAGCAGTGTTGTCCACCATTCTGTCACTGATACTTTTAGCTGCATAATGTCACCGAGCTATTTTTAGCCTTGACAAACCCACAGTCACGCCATGTCACCTATAGACTGAATAACCCTACAGTATAGAAAGCTGTTTGAATATTTATTTACTGTCCTTGATATCCAGATTAAGGTCGTTGTATTCGTATACTCTTTTTCCTCACTCGGATCACTTCGTCATTGTATCAACACTGGTGCACAACTGGGTGCAAAACGAATGTTTTGGTATGAAATGTCAACAATTTCTGCTAATAAAAGTCAGACTTTTTGGGTATAATACTCTGACTTTATTCACAAAGAATTAAGAATATTGTTTTCATAATCTAATAAAATGAGTAATAAATTCTTGCTAAAACAATTTCTTTCAAAAAAAGTTTTTCTTGTAATCATAGTCTTGTGACGCTAGCTTCTAGTGCTAGCTGCCATCCATCGAGCTAGCTGGGTCTCCACTGACATTTAATCAGCTACTATTGTTAATCGCGATGACCGTATTTATGTTTTTGAATGAATTACTCCAAATATAATTTATCTCAATCCGAAAGTCAACCAAATTGAGAGTTGGACCAGTGGATTGTGCTTGAACTTGGAACATACCACTTTATAATTGTATATAAGAGAGGAGTTGTTTGTAGTGGGCCAAAGTGGGCCTGACCAGGAAGAGTGTGTTTGCATTGGTGTGCGTGACTGAGCTGAACAGTGGTGTAGCGGTCCAGTCCTCTTCGGTCTTCGCTCTTTGTTTGGGTTGGCTCGCCAGCCGAAAGGCGTCCAATCCAAACATGGCCAGCTACTTCACAGCCCATTAGCACCGTGATTGACAGGACAAACTTCCATTCACAGGACTTTAAATCAAGTGCCCTGGCTATTAGTGCCAGGAGGGTCTTAGCGTGATGTCATGCTTCAGGAATTTCACTGGCTTGGCACGAACATACCACATTTCTTCAATGTATCAACAGTTAGCATGTTAGCATTAGATCAATTCTTGTTTGAAATAGTACCCAACTACAGGGAAAGCATACCAACTGTTAGCAAATTTTTTGATTCGGAATAGGTTCCAACTAGAGGGCAGCTCATCTGATAGCATATAACCTGTTAGAATGTTAGCATTTGATCAATTGTAATTTGGAGTAGTGCCTAACCACAGGGCATGATCGGACTTTGTGTTTTTTGTTTTCGGGTTGTTGTTTTGCTAGATGTCAGCATACCGACTGAAATTACATAAGCATTCTACATATCTCAGTTAGCCCCAGCACTATAGCGATTGCCCATTGAGACACATAATGGTATGGTATGGCTTCTGGGATATTAGCCATGATATCAGACAAAAGAATATCTGATATCATGTCCTCCTCGGCAGTAGTTGGTGCTACACTGCAGCAGTTTGACACATCAGCGAATCATCTGCGTCCGAAAGAAAGGTCTTGTTCACAATTTTTTTGCCCTCATGTTAAATGAAATTTCACCAAAGTACTACAGATATCGGTGAGTATTCAAATAGTGAATAACGTACTGGTACTTAATCCCTACTATGGCTCTTGTTCATTGAGGCTACATATGTTTTTCAGAATAAACAATATGGTTCCACGTGTGCCGATAGCATGCTAGCTGTTAACCTTATTAGCATTCTACATATTTTATTTCATCACTGTGCCCCAAGAAGGCACTCGGTGTTTTCCGGAATTAACAATATGGTTAATGACGTCCATATAAAACGTACCAAATGTTCAGAGGATGTTTGTGGAGGTGGTTGAGATTGAGGTGGGCCTGGTGTTTCTCTCGCTCTCTTTTTTTTTTTTTTTTTTTTTTTTTTTTGAGCAGGGGGAGGGCTGCTCACCATTTAAAAGCTCTTCCCTTCTGAACGACATCTGCCAAACTATGCGGCATCCCGTGGAGTTCAGAGATGAGGACATGGGCTTTTTCAGCAAAGCCTAGCGCTTCCCATTTCCTAGCGGTGACAAGGAGCATCAATCTTCATGCGGCCACGCTGCTGGACCCTGCCAAGCTACATTACTGTTGCATGAACAGGAAAAGGGGGGAAAAAAGACTGCGGTGTTGGAACAATGCATGAACATAAACACCTTATACTTTTTACTCAGCAACAACTACTTCATGATAGATCAACACCACACTCAGGACTTACTCAAATTAGCACTTAGTGGCTTTGCTGTCTGTTGTTTTTGTTTTGAGGACATCAGCACAAAAACTGGGGAAGTCAAATGATTATGGAGTAAAAATATCAGGAGAAAAAAAAATCTTAAAAGAACAGAACATAAAATATAAAAATATGAAGTATATTTTGCAATATGACATTATTTGTTTAAGATTAATATTGATTTACAAGACTGAGCAGCAATGTCGCCAAATGTTGAGATAAAGCTGTGGCTGTGGAAAGCAACAATTCTTGAAAAAAAGCAAACAATATATTCTTGTCGTAGTTTTCATGTGATGATGTTTTAATTTTCATCTGTTTACCTGTTTAATATTATCCATTTCATTAGTCAGTTATATATATATATATATA